ACACACACACACACACACACACACACACACACAAATATACATTCACACACAATACACATATACACAGAAAAAGACCTCGCCACCACACCTCTTACCCGCCCCTCACACACACAAAGAAAAAAAGAAAGAAAGAAAAAAAACAACATTTAAAATGAACATACTTGCATCAATACCCATCACTGATTTTAAAAATCTAGTGTACGTTTTCCGTTTCAAACATGTCAAACCGTCGTCCAATGCTGTCAAACTGATCAATCATGTCGCCCCAGTACAGATATAGAAACTATTAAACAAAATACAAGGTCAACTTGAAATGTTTCGATCTTTGTTCAAAATTGCAACCAAACTCGCTGAAAGTCGTTCGTCATCTGCACATTTTTATCGAATTCGTTTTGGTTCTTATTGTACTTGTTTGGTTTTTTATCGATTTTTTTTTAAAATTCGAAATCAAGACAGATTGATGGTTTATGCGCAATCTGCGAATATTTCGACTGCGTGAATTGCCGAATTGGTAATTTCGATTGAGTGAATTGGTAGTGAATTGATGTTATCTGTCTATCATGGTCGAAAACCAGGAAGAAAAAAATAGATCATTAGTTTTGAAAGCGATTTTCAAAAGAAAAAAAAAACGTCTTTTCAGTCTTACCGTCAATCACTCGGCGTTTTCTCTATAGCTGTCACAATACTATTCCCACGTGAGATAGAATAACACAGACAAACGACTGTCTGTCTGTCTGTCTGTCTGTCTATCTGTCTGTCTGTCTGTCTGTCTGTCTAACATGCAAACTCACATACAAACACACACATACGCGCGCGCGCAACACTTGTGGGATGCTCTTGGGTGCCGAGTAAGAGACCATCAGCCACCCCCAAACAATGGGGATGAACTCTTTAATATTTTGGACCAAGACTGGCAAACCATTCCACAACTGATATTGAGAACACTTATCCAGTCCATGAGACAAAGGTGCAATGACTGTTTTCTTGTAAATGATGGCCACGTGCGATTATGAGCCCTAATTGTTTATGATGGTTGTGATGTGAATTTTACAAAGATGGGTTACCTCCTTCAACATCTGAATTTACCAATTTTGCATTTTTTTAAATGTGCAAAATGTCATTTGCAAAAGGCGATATGATAAATAAAGACCCCTCTCAAACAATTTTGAACCGTGTCAATTTTTTCAGTTTTATTTACTATGTGTGACTTTAACTTTAAGTGGTCTTTATACCTTTTTTTGAGTAGTACATATACTTGTAAGATAAGATATATAGATACTGTACATGTACCCATAAAGTACACTTAAATATGCAGTTTTTAAAAAGATAAATACACACACGCACCCACAAACACACTCTCTCTCTCTCTCTCTCTCTCTCTCTCTCTCTCTCTCTCTC